TTACACTTTGTGGGTGCAAAGTATATACCAAAAGATGGGGTGACTTTGGTCAGTCCATCAAAAAACACGATATCACCTGCATATTCCACATCGACAAGGTTTTCGTCCGAGGCTATTTGGACACCTGATTTTGAAGACCTCCCAACGTTCGTTGCACTAGCTCATCGATCACAAAATTAAACAGGAATGGGGGGATCTCCGTTTCGTGTACCGAAGCTTTTGGAGAGCTGTCCGTATACTCACGTCCGGAAGCCTGACAGTACAAAGAACGTATCATGTTCACAAACTTCCGGGGCATTCCTTCATGGACAAGCGTGTTATGAAGAACAAACCGGTCAGCTGAGTCGAATGCGTCCTGAAAATCCAGGAATACCGAATTTGTGGGGCGTTTGTGTATATGATGTTGTTCTAGCACCTGACGAAGTGTGAAGATTTGGTCAACCCATCAGGTCGGAACCCCACCTGCTGCCCTCGAGTCAGTGTTTCAGGAGTCATTGTAAGGACGAAGCACAATTGACACAAGCAGTCTCGTTACAACCGTGGTTAGGCTGATCGCCTGTGGTTATCACACTCACTGCGAGCCCTTTTTTTTGAAATGGTCACTAACACCGACTTTCCCCAGTTGTGTTGGGTTCCACGTTCACCCTCCAGGGTTCTACGTCAACTGTGGGCTCCAGATAAGTGGCAGCTAGCGGCCACGATATCTGTTGTTCTGGCCTAACGGTTGGAGAACTTTCCTTTATTCATGATTGTCACTCCCTTCTGAACCATCAATGACCTTATGCCTCCTTAAAACTTATGTTTACATTGCCTCCGAAACATTCTTACAATATCCAAGCGTGTCCATGCACCTTAAGATGTCATTTACGAACTAGCTCGTTCACATTCCGTTGTCCGTTGTTCGGTGGTCCAAAAGCGATGACTCGTGGAATACATGGCGTGGGCGTTGCACCCTGCCCCAAAGCTGAATCTGCCTTAATGGATTGGACTCCAGTGAATGGTCTTTTTACACCTTTCGGTTATCCCGTTCAATATAAGCTCAATACTTCTCAACATAAAAAGGGGGTTTGTAATATCGGTATATGCCCAGACGGTTTGCAATTCTGCCGCCGATAATGATACGTTCTATCGAAATTGATTCAGACTCTTTCGTCAAAGGAGAAGCACTGACATCCTCGCGGGTGATATGAATGTTCAGTTCGGCCGTCTGGGCTCATTGGAATCACATTCAGGCGGTCGAATCGGAGTCATTCCTCGTCGCACACAACGGTGATCGACATATCCAAACTGTTTACATCTGGCGGCCTTTAATGTTCACACTCTGAAACAAGTTGGATGCAGGCGGCTCTCGCATGTACGCTGGGCTTGCTTCCCACTGTTGTGTAGTATCTGTCTGAAGTGAGGATTCAAGACCAAAGTACGGTTGTTGAGCCGACTTTTCCATCGGCTTCCAAAAAAATCATTCAGTTGTAGCGCCTCTTCGATGCCTAACTGCCACACCACCCGAAGGAAGCACGAGGGCTGGAATACTGCCGGGTTGCCCAAGCCTAGACAGGCGAAGTCGAGAGGCAGAAGTCAGGTTCGAACCACGGACCCTCCGGTCAGTAGATTCGCGCTCTAACTACTGAGCCATCGGTCTCCACTCGATTCCGGTTGCTCATCTCTGGTGATCCGGTAGCTGTTGCCGCTGGAGTTGGTGTCGTTCGGATCCACCGAGCTGAAGGATATCCGGTCGAATGGTTGCCCCTTGATAGTCACCTCTGTGCGGTTATTTCGGCAACATCTGTGAGAGTATCCCGTAAACGCATTAATGATCGCTGTCCGTTCATTTTATCTACTAACGCACCAACAGAGTGTAGCTCTGATGCACTCAAAGATAGTTTTTACGACACTGAGCGTTCAGCTGCGGTGGGCTACGAGCTCAAATATTGTTGTGGTTGCCGGAGTAGGAATGCGCAAGTAGGTAGACTTGATGCTGCTTATGCTTATTTGGGTGGTCTTCCAGGACTGGAATCGAGACGCATGGAAAACGGCGGACGCCTGTTGCAGTTATATGCTGACCACACGACGTTTCTGTACGGTACTAACTTCTGAAACAACTGAAACCACTTGGTCTCATGGTGTCCCTCGCACTCAAACCAACATGCAACATAGATAGACCACATCGCCATTATCTATAGGTGGCGTGGGTCAATTACTGACTGTCATCCGTTCTGGATGTGGATTCGGATCGCTCGCTTGTTCATTGCTACTTCTCGTTGCGCTTTTCGGATTCCGCAAGGTACAGACCGTTGATCTGAAGCAAGTCTATCAAAACCACCTACTGAAGTTCCTTCCAAACAACGTCTTGTGACTTACAGGCAGGTACTGTGTGCATCCCTGTAAGATGCTGAGCGTTCCGCTTGGCGCGCAACCAACTAGTTCTGAGCACTTGATCGCGAACAGTCTAGATTTGCTCGGTGATAGTTTATATCCAGACTGTCCGCCTCATTGCTGGACGTGCAGTTACCTCAAATGTTTTGTGGTATGCTAGCCCTCCCCCTCCGTGCTCCAGCTCTTTCTTTCGGTTATCAGGCTTCGTTGGAATAAATAGGCATGGTTGTACGACGGTGAGGCACTAGTGTTCTCGTCTGATGTTGCTATCAATGGTGATGCTGATATGAAAACAGCTGTGCTCTATAGCAATGAATGCTATTGACTAGGTAAAACAAAAGCAATGGTCAGTGAAAAGACAAGTGAAAAAGGCAGCTCATAGAGGCACTCGCAAAAGCGCCAGCTGGAAAGATTGGCCGAGCGCTTCGAGGAACGGTTTAGCTGGACTCTTGCAATACAACCCCTGGAGACGGTGAAAATAGGCGAATAGAACGTAAACCTCAATCGCCCGTCAGAAGAAAAAATAAAGTGCGAAATGTCTGTCGAAACGTGAGAAAGCGCCAGGTTAAAACGGTCGTTATCCAGTCCTCTACAAACGGGGAGAACTTCTAGTTACTTATCTGGTTATTATTAGCGCTATTTGGAGTGAAGAGAAAATGCTTGCAGAATGGAGAACATTGACAGTGCTTGTTTTCAATGAGGGCAAACAAAACTCTGTGAAAATCACCGCGGTGTTAGCCTAATAGTTGTGGCATCGAAGGTGCTTACTGGTCCTATCCTTCGAAGGTTTACCGATTACATGGAGAGGTTGATCTGTGAAAAACAAAGCCAGACTCTCTCCTGCAAAAAGATCACATTTTCATCCTCTAACAGATTCTGGAAAAGCATATTGCATCCTGCTACCAACCTTGGTTGTCTTCCCTCATTTGGAAACTAACTTTGACTCTATGGGCCTTCAGGTAGTGTGGCAGTGCCTATGGAGCAAGCAACAAATTCTTGACGCTCCTTAGGTGCAGCACTCCAACTCTTGTAGATGCGTAAACGTCAATAGAAAGCTCCCACCTGAGTTCATCACATCAAGTAGTCTCAGACAAGGCTGTGCACTTTCGCCTTCCGTCTTCAAATTTTCCATTGATTTGACCATGGACACTCACTCCCAGCTTCTAATGCCAGGGCACTCGCTCACAACTGTCGAGTGCGCAGACAACACGACTCCTCTTGGATCTGGCGACGTTGTAATGCCGACAATGTTAAATCATCTAGATAATTCTGCCTCACTTTTTGGCATAGTCACTCGCCATTGTCTCCATAATCCACCATTATCTTTGGCGAAGAAAACTGTGGCAACTATGTCTACTGTACAACATGCGCATGTTTTTCATTGGTGAAGATGATACCAATTGGCAACTACTCACAAGGTTGCTGAAAACTCTTCGACAGCCCACGACCGGTTTCGCCCATCTTGAGTAGGTGCAGTCCCCGAGTTTCCGTCAACCTTATGATCTACTTGAACCAATTGCTTCGGTCTGTGACAGTATATTCCCAGTTCCACCGTACCCATCAGAATGATAGCTATACTCCAAATTTCAGTCCCAATTACTAGCGGAAAATTGGATGAGTTGACATTCCAAAATATAGCTGACCCTTCTGATCCACTTCAATGTATTGCGGCAGTTTCATGTGAAATTAGGAACTGTGTTTACTTACAACCCCCTTACGAGTAAATGACTGAATTGATGTTTGTGATCTTCATCTGCACCAGTTTGTTCACTTACCCATATTACTTACACTCTGAGTAACCACCGTCATTGATTATGTACGGTTTCGGGCTCCACTGCGTGCACCATCCTAACACGGCAAACTGGTAAGGGAGGATTTTCAGACAACCTAAAAGTGTGCTGTTAAAATCAGCTGGAACACGTATCAGAAGCGTGCATCAGCTTTTTTCACTGTCAACGTGACTTCCATAAAGGTAGACCAAATATTGATCTAGCATTACCTTGGGACATGTGATTTTCGTATCCGTTGGTCATCTGATGGCTATTTCTGTCTGGTCTGAGCAAAACTTGTGTGAAGAACGCACGCGATTCCTGGTGAACCACGCCTGATAACCCGACACGGAAAACTTGATTTTCTTAATGCAACGAAGGGTGTGCATTGTTCCAGTTGGGCCGAAGCTCGAATTTTATGCTGTCCTTCGGTGTAAACTCAACCGGAATAGTCATGCCAAGACTGTGGATTCGAATTGATTAAATTACTTTTCAAGTCGGGAATTCATTCAATAATACCGACTTGCGTTGCGCATCGGTGAAGGCCTGATCGAATCAGTCTTCTGAGTTCTGTCTTGACTGGTTCCCCGAAAAATCGAGCGGTCTAATAACAAACCACGTAACAGACATTATTTGGCACAATTCTGCTAAGACCATAAAACTCTCCGGGGGATCTCCGTAAACATGTCTCCTCTTTGCACATTTCACTAGCGGGGCGCTATTCACTGTCACTGAGTAAAGTAAATTAATTAGATTAAGAGTAGTCAACTCAAGATGTCTCACTCATAGTTTGTTCACAACCTGCTACTCAACTTTGAATCTGCTGACCCAACCCCATTTATGTATACCGTGTTGCAGACATCACTTGCTGCTTCGTTCTCGTATGGGTAGAAGCGGTGGACCGACCCCACCCCGTCCCAACGATGTCTCTGCTGCAGAAGAATCCAGACAGGACGGGAATTCACCCTCAACCCAATCAGATGACCAATCTCAGTAAGTTCGTGTGGGTTTGTAACAATGATGACAACCTCTTCAGCACTAACCGCCCATTATTCAAAACCAAGGACCTATCGCGCACTTCTTGAAAAGGCTTTTATTTCAAGTTCTTGCTAATCGAATCCAAAAAACTGCCAATGCATGTGGATTTCTCTGAAGTGGATACTCACAATATCGATTTCTTCCAACTTACGTTTAAATTCGGTTTTCTCGGCTGATGTGCTTTCTTCGATAGACTTATGCGATAAATCAAGAGGCGAAAACGAACATGATCAGTCCTCACTTTCCTTCGCCGTATGCTGATTATTCGCCAGAAATGTGCATGCATTATTTAAGCACCAGTATCCACTCAACTTCACCTACACACGGGAATTCTAACTGATGTATGGCTCTGTACTAAGGAACTGCCGCGATCCTGTCATCCCTGGCACATGTTTTTACTAAAAGTTCATAAGGGCACATCAAATCATTCTTATTATGCGCTTCGATGAGTCTTTCCATTCCTTCATTTCACCCTTCCGCTCCAAAACTATGTTATGGATTTCCCCGTCTGCAGCCACATAAGCCAACTGCCCACGGTGGTATTTCTGGACAAGCAGCAGTCGGCTTCCCAAAATCCGACACCCTACATTCTTCAGGTATAT